AATTTTAAGGCAGCCAGGTTACAAATTATTTTAAGTTGAATCCCCCCCACCCCTCATGCCACATGAAGCAGTGTGCTAGCAATGGGATTTATGGCTCTTTGAAGGGAGCCGGATCTTGAGGAGCCATTCCTTTCAAAGAGCTGTTCAAAAGACTGGCTCATTTTTATATTTATTTATTTTATTATTAAGCTAGCCTGGGGGTAACCCATTTTATCTGGGAAATAATCACTGGGAGGAATGATAGGGTAAGATTTGGATCAGAATCATTAAAACTTAGACAATATATATTATATTGGTGGGATGTCTAAGTTTGAATTATTTTGAAATATTGACGTGCCACTGTGTTGGACAACTCAGATGACGTCAAGCTAAATTTGCATATCAAATTGGCACATGTACTCTGCTGCGCTCCTCCCCTTGTTGTGCATGCTNNCAAAGGAGGAGCTTGTGTGCACATAATGTGTGAAAAAAAAAGAAAAAAGAACGGCTCTCAACTGCGAACTCGGTTCCCATCGTTCATGTTAAAGAGCCGTTTAATAGATTCTGTTCGTTCGTGAACGTCACAACTCTACAGTGTGCATCCTTCGTGTCCAGTTCATACAAAGTCAAGTTGTACATGCTGAGTTTGCGGGAGTAATATAAACTACTCACATTGCACCAGGGTGAAATGCAATGGCTTTTAGTGACTGTTTAGTTTGGGCTGCCTCCTTGTCTTTATTTTAATGCTCCCTTGCCTGTTCTTTTCTTGACTGATGAGCTAAATATTCTTCAATCTGATGGGTCTTCTCATGCTCTGGGAGATTTTGGAATGCTTCACTTTGTCTGCAGGCATCCTTCTATGTGGTGTGAAATGCTATGTTGAATTCACTTGTGAAGATGTTCCTGTACATGCTTTCTTTCACTGTTGTTGTTTTGAAAAGAAACTACTTAAAATAAAATAATCAGGAAAATTCCAGTATTGCTACAGAGATGCCTTTGTTTGTCTGCACATTAGTTATGGTGTCTTTATGGCCTTTCCAGACAGGACAGGATCTACTGCATGGAGCTTTAAATTAAAATTTGACTCTGCAGTAGATTGGGTGAATTTTTGCAAAAGTTTTATTATATATATTGTCTTGCTTTTAAATTTTGTTGTGAAATGAGTAATTAAGTTTAATGAGTAATTACATAAGGAATGCTCTCTGTACTATCCACTCTCTTTTTTTATCTTTTTAGGCCACTGAGTCCGTTGAAAACACCATGTGCAATCTTGCCTGGATATAGTGAAAGGTGTTGAGTACATAGTTCTCTATTTATCTATTGCTGTTATATTTTTTAATGTGTGGTTTCCTCTGCTGAACAAGGTCTGTCATGTGATTTTACCTGTCCATACTGATCATGTGACTACTTGCCAACACATATAAGAAACAGCCCAAAGGCAACCATTTTGAATTTGCCCTGATGAAGGCCTGAATGGCTGAAATGCATATAACTGTTTTTTAACTGTTATGAGTATGAGTGAATAGCAAAGAGATGTTTTTACAGTTCTAAACTAGTAGGATCCCCTAACTGAATAGCACCAGAGGGACACCCGCCTTCTTTTTTTTTACACAAAAGCAGCAATCCATACAGTTTATTTGTGACTGAAGATAGAAATTTATTCACCACTAGTCTGACACAGAGATTAAGATTAAATGAAAGATATATAGAGAGAAAACAGAGAAAGATATGAGAATGGAAGAAAGATGGACCATCAATTGCCTTTTTTTGATTCATCCTTCAGATTTCCTCTCCGTGTTTGAGATGAGCCAACAATAACGGCATGGTTAAAGTCAAGCAGCTGGTCTGGCGATCAGAGGAGAAGAACAGGAAAGAGGAAAGAACAGGTAACTTTACTCACACAACCACCAAAATATCAAAAATGTGACATTTATTCAAGGACAGAACTTCAAATTAAAATCAGCTACATTCAGAAAACAGTTATTATTGGGATAGCTAAATTGTTCTTGTGGTACACCACTTTTGTTCCAGACCAATGATGGATCAGCACAACATTTTGGACAGACATTCCTGGTTTTCAGACAATGAATCCTATGACTTCCTCTAGCACCACCATGAAGTTGAGTTGTTATCTTATGCTACAACCAGTTATTATATCACAATTTGGTATTATTGCAGGTATTATTTGCAGTTATTACATTGTGATTACAAGATCAGTTTTTGTTACAATTTTGTATTACAAGGATGACCGGATAGCTCACCTCATAGAATTTGCAACCCATGTACCAAGGCTGAGTCCTTGCTGCAGAAGCCCAGGGTTTGAATCCAACCTGCAGCCCTTTGCTGCGTGTCATCCCCGCTCTCCCACCCTCTCCCATCACCCTTCAGCTATCACTATCAATTAAAGGCAATAAAAGCCCCCCCAAAATCTATAAATAACCAATGTTGTATTACATTACTGGCTGCTAAAATGTTATGCACAACAATTATCATTTTCTAGACCCAAGTCTCTGATTAAACTGGGTCCTGAATGCCTTGCAGAAGATGAAGTAGATGAGTGGGTCCAGACAGACGTTGAGAACTCCCATCAGGTAAGATGTAAAACCTTGCGCGCCATGAACAACTATCTCCCAACAAGGAAAGCTTTGGGAAGCGCGAACCACGGTCGTAAGGTACGAAGCAGAAGCAGAGACACAGAACCAGCACTAACATCTTCCTGTGGGGATCCTTAAGCAAGTAGGTTGGTGCTGGTGAGGAGGATGTATAGTAGAAGAAGACCAGGGAGACAAGGAAAAACACGAACATGGCGAAGGCGCAGGCGTGCATGACTTTATGGAAAGAGATGAGCTGGTCACTGTGAATGACTTCACAGTTCACTGGGTCAGAAGTCAAAGGTTTCTGGGTGTGGAATGACAGGATGATGAAGGTGCTACTCATGGCCAGGAGTAAAACCCAGGTTACAGTGCAGACAATGTGGGCAGCCTGCACCGTCTGCAGGATGTGAGTTCCTGAAGTTCCTCGGACAATCTTCAGATACCTGGAGAGAGGAGAGGCTGGCGTCAATAAATAACAGCCACAGTATGAAGTTCAGCCTTTAATGCTCCCCTCAATGGAAACTGGGAATTTATCTGTTTGATATGCTTGGCATTCAAGTAGTACTCGTGAGCACTATTGCTCATAGGAACACTACTTTCTGTCAAATTGTGTTTCCTGTATGTTGATAAAACCAGAAACCATGAACTGATGCATTTTTGTCTGCATTGATAAAATTGTGAAGTCAATTATAAGTCTGTTTTTGTGCCACAAGATCTACCAACTTCAAAGTTCAAGGGGAACTCAAGAAGATCACAGACAATGACAGGCCACTCTGTATACCCACAATGCCACATTGCCACCCTGGCCTACCTGTTAGCAGCAATGTAGCACATGAACATGATGCTGGCGTATATGTTGAGGAAGAAGAGGACACATCCAAAGTTGCAGTAGACCCGGCGGATGGTGACTGTGCTGCTGGCATAGTTGGCGATGCGGATGGGGAGACAGAGACAG